GCCCTAGCGCGTCCTGCGGTCGTCTCGTGCAGCCGGGCGTCTTCTGGGGAGGTTCGGCGTTGGGGCGCTGCCTCCCTCTCCCGGTCTTCGGCGCTGGCGTCGGCCGGTAGGTCGGGGTGTGGGGAGTTCCTCGGGGCGTCGGGGAGTTCCTCGGGGCGTCGGGGAGTTCCGAGGCCGGCTGCTCGTCGCCTGCGACCCTCGGAGCGGGACAGGCTCTTTGCCAAGTTTGGATTTTTTTATGCTGCTTCTGAGGAGGGACCTCTGAGGAGAGATAGTCCCGCCCCCAGGCTGCGTGTGGCAGACGCAGAACACCCTCACTATCACTGCAAGATTTTTACCCTCGCTTTTGTGTGAGTGTTTGTCTGTTTTGGCAGGTCACTGCGTGGTGTGGCTCTCTGACTCTCACAGTTTAAAATTTTGGCTCTTTTTGTCGAACTTGTTCGCCACCCCTGCTGTAGATCCTTTGTAACACTGACCTGTATACCGATTAATGCAGGAGATCTATGATCAGCGCCTCCCAGTGTTGGCTAAAAACATAGGGCTAGTTGTGAGACTAAAATGGCAGAGTCAGGATACAGGATGATCTTGACAGGCTGGAAAACTGGGCTAAGACAAATAAAATGAATTACAACGGAGATAAATGTAAAGTAGTTCTGATTTAGGTAGGAAAAATCAAATGCATAATTATAGGATAGGGTAGACTTGTTCAATGCTCCTTCTAAGCTGTGGGGTCTTGTGAACAAAAATTCTACTTTGTGAACTACTGGCATGAAAGTTTTGGGCAAGTCATTAAACTGTTGCATAAATCAGTTTGCTCTGGAGCCATCCTTCCCGAGCTAAGACAAAAATAAGTGAGCCAGAGGCTAAAAAACTGTGAGCTGGCTCACACTAACTCAGCTTAGAGGGAACACTGGACTCGTCTTCCCAGTAGTATGTGCAAAAAAGATCTAGTGGTCTTAGTGGGCCACGCACTGAACATGAGTCAGCAGTGTGATGCGGTAGCTAAAAAGGCATATGGGATTTGGGGCTGTATCAACAGAAGTATAGTGTCCAGATCAGGCAAAGTGATGGTATCGCTTTACTCTGCTCTGGTTCAACCTCACCTAGAGTATTGTGGTCAGTTTGGGCATCACAATTTAAGAAGGATACAGACAAGCTGGAATGTATCCAGAGGAGGGCAGTGAAGATAGGGTTCTGGAGACCAAGTCCTATGAGGAAAGGTTGAAGGAGCTGGGCATGTTTAGCCTGGAGAGGAGACGTCTGAAAGGTGATATGATGACCATCTTCAAGTACCTGAAGGGCTGTCATATAGAGGATGGTGCGGAGTTGTTTTCTGTTATCCCAGAAGGTCCCACCAGATCCAATGGGTTAAAATTAAATCAGAAGAGTTTTTGGCTAAACATTAGGAAGAACTTCCTGACAGCTAAAGCCGTTCCTTAGTGGAACAGGCTTCTTCGGGAGGGGGCGAGCTCTCCTTCTTTGGAGGTTTTCAAGCAAAGGCTAGATGGCCATCGGACAGCAATGCGGATTCTGTGAATTTAGGCAGATCACGAGAAGGGAGGGCAGGAAGGGTTGCACCAGTGCTTAGTTTTCGTGGCCCTTTCTTACATGCCCAGACGTGAGAACTGTCCATGGCTAGTGACCGTTCTGAGGTCCCCAGTGAGCGTTGTGGTTGAGCCTGGATTTGAACCTGGTTCTTCCAAGTCTTAGTCCAGCACTCTGACCACTATACCACCAACTCCTGACAGCTTATTGTTCTACCCTGTCATTACCTTTCTTTACTGGCCCATCCCTTTCCAACCCACTCCACTTACCTGATCCCATCCATATTGACATCTGTGAAGACGAAACTGAAATTTTTCAGCAGTAAAAAGGAGGAAGGGGGAATAATCTTGAGTGAGAGAGGAGGGTTCAGGATGAAGAAGCTGAAGTCAGAAGAAAAAATATTTTGTCCAACTGTTTATGTATTTGAAGTACAATGTTGTTCAAGAGAACCGAGCATTCTTTTAGCATTGTGAAATAAAGCCATTATAAATGCAAAAAACAAATCTGAAAAAAAAAATCATTCTGCTGTAATTTGAGGAAATTTTCTGTTGACTGGAATAGGAAAAGTTGATAGCAGCAGGAAAAGAAGAAGACCTAACATAGGATGTTTTAGAGGACATTAATTCATAGGGTCTCCATAAGTTGGAAGTGACTTGACAGCACTTAACACACACACACACACACACACACACACACACACAAATGATGACCTTCAATGATTGAACCTTCAATTATGAAAGGTTAAAGCGCTTGGGGCTCTTTAGCTTGGAGAAACAACGGCTGAGGGGTGACATGAACGAGGTTTACAAGATGATGCATGGGATAGAGCAGGTAGAGAAAGAAGTCTTTTCTCCCTTTCTCACAATACAAGAAGTCATGGGCACTCAATGAAATTGCTGAGCAGTCGGGTTAGAACGGATAAAAGGAAGTACTTCTTCACCCAAAGAGTGATTAACACATGGAATTCACTGCCACAGGAGGTGGTGGTGGCTACAAGCAGGGACGGCTTCAAGAGGGAATTAGATAAGCATATGGAGCAGAGATCCATCAGTGGCTATTAGCCACAAGGTATAGATAGGAACTCTCAGTCTGGGGCAAGTGATGCTCTGTATTCTTGGTGCTTGGGGAGGAGCAGTGGGAGGGTTTCTAGTGTCCTGGGCCCACTGGTGGACCTCCTGATGGCACCTGGTATTTTTGGCCACTGTGTGACAGAGTGTTGGACTGGATGGGCCATTGGCCTGATCTAACATTGGCTTCTCTTATGTTCTTATGTTCTCTTATATTCTTAACTGATGAAGTTGGATTGTTTTCAGAGACCTCTGATATATTTTGAGAGGTACTAGTAAATATCAGAAATAATAAAGACCCAAGACTTATTTTGGACATTTTTACCTGACCCAGGTTAAAATGGTGTCCAGTGCAGGTGTAAGAGGGAAATTACTACGAAATTTGCTCATTTGACCATGGACACTTTATTGCCTAATGTTCTTCTAAACTCCTAAGATCATCAAGTATGGGTTAACATCAGCAGGATTTCTGTCACTTCCATGGGTTTTCTTTCATAAGGAGGATTTCCCCTGCCCTTGGGTCCAAAACCCCCCACAGACCACGTAATGCGTTTTATTAGGTTCTCTAGAACTCTTCCTCAGGCTGGTTGTTAGAAAATAAAAAAGAGGTTGGTGTGTAAAAGATGTTTCAGGCCATGCTTTTGAAGGCCTGTGCTCAGTGCTGGCAGGCAAGCTTTACATTGTTGCCTTTGGCATTAAGTAGTACCTTAGGTGCCCTGACCTGGATAGCCCAGGCTACTCCAATCTCACCAGATCTTGGAAGCTAAGCAGGGCCAGTCCTGGCAAGTATGATGGCTCAGATTTCTCAGACGAAGAGCTACCTGCCAACCCTGAGCCGGTAATTGAACAGCCGGCTGCAGCTGGCTCTGAGCCAGAAGGAGAACAACAAGCAATCAAATTATTGGCTGATCAGGAGTTACCGGCCTACAGCTGAAACCAACACCTTGTATCTTTGAAGCAGTAAACAAGTCTTCAGCAGCCACTCCCAGCCCACCTAGCTCACCCACACCCTTGCAGTGCCGACGCTGTCAAAGATTCTTAGAGTTGCAAGAAAGGAGAAGTGCAAGACTCATGGCCCATAATCAGCTGTCAATTGAAGAGACGAATGAGTAGTTTCAGGATGATTGCCCAGGAATTGGCTGGGAGTCTAGCTCATTAAGACTTGGCTATAAATTCAGCTGGGAGAAGCAGCCATTTGTAGATGCAACAAGTACACTTTGCTACTGAGCAATTAACCTTACTGCTACTGGATCTCTGTAACCTTGAATCGGACCTGACAACTGGCTTTTCTGGAACCCCTGACCTTGGACTGAACTTGTTGCCTCAAATTCCTTGACCCTAGGCTGGACTTTGGTAAACCTGCTCTCTGGAGCCACTGACTTTTGGACTGGACTTTGGTTATTCTCTGCAACCTTGACTGTGACCTGCCCTGTGGGACCCCATCCCATCCCACCTGGGGAAGTTACATTAGCACAAAGTATTTGGATGGGAAATCTCCAAGGAATACCAGGGTTGTTACATGGAGGCAGGCAATGGCAAACTACCTCTGAACTTCTCTTGTCTTGAAAACCCTATTGGGGGGGGGGGTCACTATTAATCAACAGCAACTTCATGGCACTTTCCACCACCACCACAGTAATCTTCATTGGTAGACTGAAGGATTTTTCTCTAGACTGTTTCTCCATTGGAATTACAAAGCAGTCTTCCCTGTCTCTCCCCCCTGCCCTTGCATGCCCCCGTAAAGACAGTGCAATTATTATAAAATTCCGTTTGAAGTCATCAATGCGAACCATTTTGAATTGTCAGTCTAGTCACTGTGGTTTTTTTTCAAAGTTACTCTAAAGAAGCAAGGAATATGAGGACATGCTCTATGGTTTGCCGGCATGGCTTTCCAGTGCAAAAGGTATTAAAAACCCAGAGTGGCTTGAACTCTAGACTGTTAGAAAGGTTAGGTCAAACCCTTGTCGATGTAAATCCACACGGCTATCGACTACTGGGATGAGTGATTGTAGAATAAATGATTTATGAAAAATACCGGCACCGAAAGGCAGACAATAAACCTTTTTGTTTTTATTTCTGCTGACAGTTAAAGAACACATGGCCAAGAAGGTCACGTAATGTGCAATCTCAGGGCTGACCCAAGTAATCAGCTTTGTCTCTTGTTGTTGTGCCCACGCCAGGTCCTGTATTTCAATTCTACCATCCCTCCATCCCTTGCTACTTTTATGCCGGCTTTTTTTGGGGGTGCGGAATTTTCCAATGATTTCTGAGTGGTAGGTGATGGAAGAGAATGTCCTGAGGTTGACTATGGAGGTCAAAGGAGGTCTTCCAGGTATATTCCACGTAGATCTAAGTCTGAGTCCAGTGGCACCTTTAAGACCAAGAAAGTTTAATTTGAAGTTTAAGATGAAAAAAGTTTAAAACTTTGTTGGTCTTAAAGGTGCCACTGGGACCCAGACTTTGTTCTGTTACTTCAGACTAACACGGCTGCCCACCTGAATCTACCTTGATCTGTCACTGTGCAGTTTGGTGTAGTGGTTAAGAGCGGCGGACTCCAATCTGTGAGAACCGGGTTTGATTCCCCACTCCTCCACATGCAGCTACTGGTGTGACCTTGGGTCAGTCACAGTTCTCTCAGAGCTGTTCTCCCAAGAGCAGTTCTCAGAGTTCTCCCAGCCCCACCTACCTCACAGGGTGTCTGTTGTGGGGAGGGGAACGGAAAGGAGATTGTAAGCTGCTCTGAGACTCCAAGTGAAGGGCGGGGTATAAATCC